GTTTCTTGGGAGCATATTTCTTGTTTGAATTCATCCCACCATTTAACTTTGAATTCTCGAACCAAAGACATTGGTAATAGTGCTTCTAAATCTTGCATAATTTTGAAACTCCAGCAAAATATCCAAGGTACTTTGAACTCTGTGTGAAATAATATTGAACGGGTATATTCTTCTCCTTGAATCTTTTTGCAATAAGTCTGAAATCCCATTAATACTTTTGGAGGATATATCTCCTGTTGAGATCCATAATATCTCCACCAATGATAGAACCAGATTGGAAACTCCTTTGGGCAATGTTCATGGAATATAAAAAACCATGAATGATCAAATGGTCTGTATAGAAAAGCTCTATACCAGGCCTGTTTGTAATCCTAATAGGTAAATCCGTCTGGAATCCTTCGGACTGGAAAGTTCTTTTTTGAATAAATAGAGGCCCATTCTCCTGGGGAGCAAACCTTTTTAATTATACATTTGCAATGGGCTATTTCTTTTGGATTTGAAGGATTGGATTTTGCAATAATTTCGACTGATCCAGTATCAACTAGAATCAGTTCATAATAAGATTGATTTTTGAGTGAGTCATCAGGACACCAATAGCATCCTTCTGGGAAAATCCTCTGAGTAAGTGTTTTGAGTGTGGCATAGGGAGGCACATCTTTGAATTTTGTTAGAGTAATATGTTGAATCAGGGACTTTGTAATGTAAGGGGATTTTTCTTTTGTAATTGGGGTTTGTGGTGCTTTTGAAGAGATGGACGGATTTTGAGCTGCTTGAACATAAGATAAAGCTGGGAAATCTTGAAATAAACTATATCTATTTGAAGTAGGGACCTTACTGTGAGACATTTCACAATCCTTTGGAGTGCGAGCCATATCTGCAAAATTAAAGTCAAGAAATAATTTTGTTGAGTTTCTCTCGAAGCTGTTGAATTTGTTTGTCATAATATTGAATCTCTTCCTGAGGATGACCGGCCTTTTGAGGACATCCTTGAAAATAATATTGAAATTAATTTGTCTTGTGAGAAGAAAGGCTTTTTTCTTTTGGAGTCTGAACAGACCAAAAACTAGGTCTAACATAAACTGGGGAACAATTTTGAATTTGATGATGAGGAATAGGCTGTATTTCTCCTTGTGGATTTTTAATATAATAAGTATGATATCTATTGGAAATATTTTTATCTCTTCTTTGAAGAATAGGATCGTCCCTTTCTCTTCATAATTTTCGAATGTATTCTTGGTGTGACTCACGATCCATTCCCTTGAAGAAATTCGCGAGTAAGAAAATCTGGTAATGAATTATTTTCACCTTTAATATATTCTATTTCAAAATAAAAACAGATAAAATAGCTTGCCATCTAGCAAATATTTGTTTTGAGACAAGATTTTTAACATCTTTTTGTAAAACTTCTTTTGCTGATTTGCAATCAACTCTTAATACAAAAGTTTTATTTATCAAATCATCTTGAAATTTGGAAATACATAATACAATAGCTAAAATTTCTTTTTTAATAGTAGAATATTTTTGCTGTGTGATATTCCATGCTCCTGAATGGAACCTTACTAATTGTTCGTGGGAATTTTTTATCTTTTATTTGAGTATGCCACCATATCCTTTTTCGGAGGCATCTGTTTCTACTATCATTTTAGCATTAGGGTTTGGAATACCTAAACAGGGTAATTCTATAATCTTAGCTTTTAAATATCTTATTTTTTGAGTATGTTCTTCTGTCCAAGGAGCGGGGTCCTTTCTTAATCTCTGAAATAATATTCTACATTCTGTTCTAAGATTTGGAAAGAAATTTGCTACATAATTTAAACATCCTAAAAATCTTTGTAGTTGATTTTTATCTTTAATTTCATCTGGAAATTTACTTGTAAATTCTAGAGCTCTCATAATAGGTTTAATAGTTCCTTTAGTTATATTATGTCCTAAAAATCTTATTTCTGTTTGAAATAATTTCATTTTTGGTGCTGATAATACTAATCCATTTTTCTTTACTATATTTAGGAATATTTTAATATGTTTAAAATGCTGTTCTGTTGAATTTGAATATATTAAAACATCATCAATATAAACTATAATAAATTCACTGTAATCATTAAATATATCATTCATTATATTTTGAAATTCTGATGGAGCATTTTTTAATCCAAATGGCATAACTACCCATTCATAATGTCCAAATGTTGTAGTGAAAGCAGTTTTATATCTATCTTTTTCTGCTATAATAATTTGCCAATACCCTGATTTTAAATCAAATTTTGAAAATATTTTTGCATTAAATAATCTATTTAATAAATCTCTCTTATTTGGAATTGGATATCTAATCCATCGTAACATTTTATTTAATGGTTTATAGTTAATAACTAGTCTTGAAACTCCTCTTTCTTTTTCAGCTTGATTCATTACATAGAAAGCTGCACAACTCCAAGGTGATTTTGAATGAGTTATTAATTTCTTTTCTAATAAAGTTTGTATTTCCTTTTTACAAAATTCTAGATATTCTTTATTCATTTGAATAGGTCTAGCTTTAGTAGGAATATCCTTATCTGAATATCCTGTTTCATATGGTAATTCTACTATATGCTTTTTTCTTTCCCAAAAAGCATTTGGGATATCTGCACATACTTCTTTTTTAATTAATTCTTCTATTTTATGAATTTCTTGTTTAATTTTAGGATTTTGTAATTGTTCTTCGATTCTTATATATTTTTGTAAATTTTTTTAACTCAGATATGTATTTCTTTTTTGCATTGAATAGAATTGGTAGTTTGATATATAGAGGATGTTTGTAATATTCTTATTTCTTTTTGTTTTATAGGACTTATAAATGGAAATACTATTTCTTTTCCCATTATATTAATACTTAATCCTGTACTATTTACATTGAATGGATATATTTGAGTAAAAAATGGAATTCCTAAAATCATATCAGTTGTTAAGTTTTCTACTATATGAAATCTATGTTTTATGCAATAATTATTATTACATATAACTCCATCTTTTAATTTATATTTTACTATTAATGGTTGTCCATTAGCTGCATATAATTCTTCATTGGTTCTTTCTAAATATTCTAATGGAATTATTCTTCCTTTAATACAACTTGTATCTGCTCCACTATCAAATAAAGTTATTAATGTTTCTTGAAAATTTAATATTTTAACTGTGACTAATCCATACCATTTTTGATAATTTATTTTATCAATAATATTTACATACTCTTTTCTTTGTTTTCAGTTCTGTCTTCTATTTCTAATATGGGGTTTTGAATTGGTTCTATTGGTATTTTTGAACTTGAAACTAATTGACTTTGTAATATAGTAATCTTAGTTTCTAAACTTAAATCTTTTGTGTATAATTCTAATTTTTCTTTTTGTAGAACTTTTACCTGTTGTTTTAATTCATTGATTTCTTTTTGTACAGAATGAGTTGTATCTTTTTTAATTATTCCTTCTATAGGATATTTATCTAATAATCTAGAAATACTAAAGGGTTCAGTTATTTTTGGAATTTTTTCTTCTGCTAATATTATCCCTTTTAATTTTTCTAAATACATTTTCCTTGTTTCTATATTATCTATTTTTTCTATTAGATCTAATAAAATTCTTTATCTTCCTTTGTAGTTATAACATTTATATATTTTTTATCTTTGCAATTACATTCATCTGAGCTTATTTCTTTATCATCATTGTAATCTTCGGATCCATTTGATATATCTTCTTCTTCCTCTTTTATCATGATTGCTAATATTTTCTCCTTTAATTCTGAATCATTTGAAAATATTTCATTTATTTTTTGCTTTACTTTGCAATTATTAGCTTTATGTCCTAATCTTCCGCATTTCCAACAAGTAATATTTTTATTGTTTTGAAATCTTTTCTTAAATTTCTTATAATAGGGATCATTGGAAATCCTAGAAAGTTGTCTTCTCCCTTTTTTAATATAATCAGATTTTTTGTACGATTTTCTTTTTAATGCAGAGGGTGATCTAATTATTAATTTGTCTTGTAAGAATTTATAAAATTATCACCAAATTCAACAAAAACTCATTTTAATTCAAAGGAAAGGTAAATCAATCATTTTTACAGACCATCCTGTATGCTCCTGATCCATGGATAATTAACTCATCCTGCTTGTCTTTTAACTCTTTATCGAAGAGCATTTGCACCTGAAATAGACCTACTGCAGATCCAAAAGAGTGGGTCTGGCCTTTTGATAGGACGCAACGGATATCCAATATCCGCCACAGAGTCCCAAACAAATTAAGCAGCAGAACTGATCAAAAGGCCTTTCGGTTCTGCAGAAACCCAGAATGGGAATGGACCTATTTTTGCAGTCCATCTAGTCCCATGAACCAAACTGGCAGCCCGTAAAGGAATCGAGTGCTACAGGACTTCACATCAAGGTTTTATTTGCATGCCAATAGCCATATAATTGTTTTACTTCATAATCTTTAAAAAACTTAACCTCTCAGCCCTCCCTAACCTTTTTCCTAGTACCAGGACTAAAACCTATGTGCTCAGTGCCAACACACAACTCCTACAAGTCTCATGACTGACCCAACTAGAAAAAGCTATGCGAAATGTGGGGTTCAGACATTGCACATGAAAACTATCAAAGAACAAACAGAAAACCAAAAATATTGAAATTTAAACCATCAGCATATGCGGACCAAAACCAGATACATATGCAGTTATTGAACAGGACAATAATGAAAAATCTGATACAAAAAACTGGTGCATACTAATAGACCATAAATTGAACAGCCATAACTACATCAGAAGGAAAAGAATAACGATAAACAACCCAAACAAAAACAAAATCAAAAGACACCTCGCCAGCATCCACCACGATCACATCTACAATATAATTGTTGGCCAAATTGGATCCTGCAAGAAAGTGAAGAGAATTATGGTTTATGAGGAAAAGGGATGAGGATCAGAAACGGAAAAAGAAAAACCAAATAGATTAGCTATGAGGTCAAAAGTTTTACCTTGTTCTTTGCAGCTGCATGCTGAGCAACAAGTAGGATAGACTCTAGGGAAACAGTGAGGAAGAATCCAGCAATATAGTAGTACTTGGCCTTTTCAACTGCCCAAATGCCAAGAGAACATATCAGATATTAGATAACAAGAGAATATATCCTGTAAATGGAAAAAGAAACAGAAACAGAAAAAATGCTTACCTAAGGCCCAATTTTCTGGTCTCTTCAGGTGTTCAGATTTATAGCAGTTTGCAGCTGACAAGTTAGCAACAAGTGACCTGCATAGGGTTTCATTTGTATTCTTATCAATCCAGTCTGTTAATAACAGTCTAAACTTCATGAAAGAAAGGAATAAGACATCTGCTAACTGTCAGATCAGGCACCACAAGCATGACAGCAATGAAGAGACAATTTAAAAATGGGGAAGAAGATCCTTTTTGTTGAGAAGGGAGCTGATATGTGAAGAAGAAGAAGACATTTAGATATCCTAAATTTGTTTCATCAGAAGTATCGACATATAGCTGTCTGCAGAAAAGCAAATTACTACCACACTAACCCAGTAAAAGACAAGGTAAATATTTTCACTTTTCACTTCCCCTGTGGACGATAGTTCTTATTAGCAGGGATAGTTCAGGACAAGTTTACAAACTATTTTGTCTAAACCATTTTCAGCAAAACTGACCTTTCACCACCAACAACACAAACAGCACAAGTACCCGTTGGAGCAGACTCGTCCTCATAATAATGAACCTAAACACAAATGGAACAGGGAGAGTATAATTTGATGTTATTCAAGGTACAGTGGATTTCTGTTGATTATAAAACAAAGTAAAACTGAACTAAATATACGGAATACCAAGATTAGGTTCAAAGATAGCAAATGTGACCAATAATCTTGTAACTGAAATAACAAAGCTAGTTTATACATTATGCATAAGAGAAGCAGATGAATCAGATGTGTGACATTACATTTACACCAGCACTATAATTTGATGTTATTCAAGGTACTCTGGATTTCTGTTGATTATAAAACAGAGTAAAACTGAACTAAATATACAGAATACCAAGATTAGGTTCAAAGAGCAAATGTGACCCATAATCTTGTAACTGAAATAACAAAGCTAGTCTATACATTATGCATAAGAGAAGCAGATAAATCAGATGTGTGACATTACATTTACACCAGCTTGCGACCAATCTTCGAGGTTCTCCTATCTCAGGATAAGAAAGAGACAAAAGAAAAAAAAAAAAAAAAAGAGAGAATAAAAGGTGGGTTTTGGGTGTCATTTTTTCGAATAATCTTTAAAAGAGGGGAAAAATGAAGAAAAAGAGAGAATAGAAGCGGTGTGCTATTAGTCTGTTTCTTTTCTTTTTTTCAGAGAAAAAAATGGAGGAAATCCATGGAAGGAATGGAGGAGGTCAGTTATACTCTCGGATGAGACAAAAGGAATAGGGGGTTCTGGAAAAAGGGGATGAGGAGACTGGTAGAACAATCAAGAGAAAGGTGAGAAAGGAGACTCAACAATGAGCAGCTATTTCTCCTCCCAACTTAAGCACGTGCAGTCCTTGTGAGTGACAACCATCCTCCAACCAATAAAACACAGCCACATCAACACAACCACCATTCATCTTAACAAATTCATTCATGCTTTTACTATACAGGTAGAAAAAAGTAAGACTTAAAAAACTTTAAAAGAATATACCTCTAGAGAATAGAAGAGAATGAAAGATAGGTATTGTTATCTTTCATCCTGCAAAGACAATAAAATAAAAACACAAAATCAGATAAACCAAAAATTGGCAACACAAAAATACTTTCCTGAGAGACAAACATATAAAGAAAAAGGAAAATCTTCTTTTAATTGAGAAATTGAATTAGAAAACCAAATGAGAAAACAACTTAGAAATATGCTCTCTATTTAAAACGTTACTATGAAGCTTTGGTCTGCCTATGTTCAATTTTTTTGGTTTCATCATGTCTACCTAGAAATTGCTAAGCATCAGCTGTGTTGCATAGATACACGGCGGAGTCCACAATAATCTAGTTCATATTTTGTCTCATGCAGAAATGGAGATATTCTATGGAATCAACAAATTCAATAAGATCCATACAAAATTCTGATTTTAGGTCCATGTAAACTTTCTTGCTTTCCAGTTTTACCTACTACAAACAAATTAATAGTTTTGGCATTTTGTCAAACACTTGATTTCATATAAATATCATTGCATTATTACAGAAATTTAGAATCAAAAAAATGGGAAGAAAAGAAGAAATCCTGTGTACAAAAGACACAAAAAGCTAGACATCCATAAAATACTCAAATGACTACAAATTCTAGTAACATTATATCAACTTTGATGTTTCCAAGGTTTAGGAAACATGCCACAACCTAATCTTTTGAAGGCCAACTAATCCATGATAACCAATATCGAAACTTACACCTAATAGGTTATAAGCATAAATAAATCAACAATTCAAGGGAAAATAAAAAAATTTTTACAAAAAGTGAAAGCAAAAAACCTGTAATCTGGCAAAATCAAAGATAACCTCTTCCGCAAGGGAAAAAAAATGCAAGATGATGTTTAGGGTACAAATGGCAATGAAATAGATACAGTCAAATATTCATTTACTATAACCTACCCAAAAAGTATATATATATATATTCACTTACTATTATATACAAAAGGCTGGAACATAATGCCTCACTACATAACCTAGAGTATTTCGAAAAAGAATTGAAGAATTTTCCCAAACTTTTGACTTGAAATATTAAAAAAAACATAAATTAGGAAAAAAAAAGAAACCAGGAAAAATTTCTTATAACGGCATTGGATCGGGAAAAGTTCCAAAAAAATTTCTCAAATTTGTTAAATCCAAAATTGAGATACAAATAAAGCAAGAGAAGGAAGAATACCAGGCAAAAGAAAGGGGGGAAAAAGAGCAAAACTAACCACGTGTTTTAGAACATAGTTTTAAAAAAAGGGAAAAAAATCTTACAGAGTCTCACAGGAATGTTGGAAGAGATTCCAAAATTGTCACCTGCAATATCACAAATAAAGACGAATTAGATTAGATCAGGCAACTAAACCTAAAAAGAAAAATAGAAGGCTAGAGAAAATCAGGGAGGGAAAGAAAAAAATACCAACCATCTGTTTTGGTCCTAAATCTCCTGATGTTGCCGGCCATGGAGAATAAGAGAGATAGAAGGGCTTTGGGGCTTTGGGGCTTTGGGAGTGTTGAGGAAAATGAAGAAGAAAAGAGAGAGATGGTCTTAAGAGAGAGGAGAATAGCGATGAACCCTTCTAAATTGTGATGCATCGAGCCATGCGCCAATCCCATCCTCGGCAGAATACGTCAGAAAGAAAGAAAACCCTCGAATATTTCTCTAGCTGGGCACGTGATTTTGGCACGAGGAGGACGATCACATTTTAACCAATGACAGCTTGACACATCAGCAGACGACCACTCTTTTGCCCAGACTCATTCGTGCTTTTACTATATAGGTAGATTAGCATCAATACCGGATTCCCAGTGCATTTACATGAAGAGCTTGGGCGAGGGACAAAATGGTAAGCAATTCACCTGTGCTGGAACTATTTATAAAAAACACAGTTTTCTAAGTGCGATGAAATTTTTGGGACGGAGGGAGTAATATAATATTGTCGTTTGAACAAAAAAAAAGTATCACATAGAAATAAAATATATGAAAGTGTATTTAATATAAGGATATGCAAAATCGCTGGTGAAGTGAGTGACATAAATATGTGGGCAGTGTCGTAAATGCGATCATGGTCATACTTGGAGAAATATCTAAGTATTTGAATGACATAAATTCATGATTGAAGTTCAAGACGAGGTAAATGTTATAGTCGGATACTAAGCGCTTGGTCTAGTGAATGGACTCCGTCCGGAAGGTCGACCAAGTCTCGCGCACACCTGCGTGAAATACGGCAACTTGTTACACCTGATCGAACGTGAAGTCGAACCATCTCACGGCTGTTTGGAGCTTATATTGTTATTATAGTTATACATAAATATCATGTATTAATCATTGAATCAACAATAATCAAGGACATATGCTGCTCATTCATAAATTATAGCCTTGAAACACACAAACAGGCATAAATAATCCATCTACATATCAAAACTAGAGTTTCATAAGATCCAAGTTTTTATAGAACATTTGGAAATACAGGAAGGGGCGAAGACCACTTACATTTGTCAGCTTGAATGAGAGATGCTCCAAAAATTAGAATAACAATAAATCTAAAATAAGTAATATGTGATCTATTAATAGACTTCAACTAATAGTTATAGAGGAATTATATAGTCCCTTTAACGTCTTGTACTGTTAAAGTCATAGTTAGATATAAAATAAGAGTTATCAATCCTAAGGCTGCATTTGGATTGTAAGAGTTATCAACTATTAGGCTGCATTTGGATTGAGAAATTTGACAAAAATTTGAAATTCTCTCAAATTTTTCTAGTTATTTACATTATTTAAGATGTATACGAATTTATAAATTACCTATATTGACAATATTTGTTAATATATAGTTGGCGTATTACAAGCTCAAATGCCTATAAAGTAATTTAAACAACTAGAGCGATTTAAAAGGATTTCAAATCTTTTATCAAATTACTCAATCGGAATGAAGCCTTATATTATTTTAAGAGTTTAAATTATTAAATAATGTGACTCAATATAAGTGGATTAAAATCATAAATATCATGCTCAAAAGAGAGTGTAGCATTTTCCATACTTATAAAGCACAGAAACCTACCCAAATAAACCTACAAAACATGCATGGACCTTCCATGGAGAGCGCATAGCAAGTTTTCATTTCAAGAAAAATTTTTAATTAGGAAAGTTTCCAAATAATTTATCCAGAAATGCAATTCTATATTTACACAAAGCCCCAAATCACGTTTAGGCAGGACTTTGAGTTTGGATTGCCCATAAAACAAGGCCCAACTATGAGGAAAATTTGATTTTTAAAAACTGAGACTTTAATTTCCAAGCATTTGGCTGTAAACGTAATGTTTAGGCTTACTCATTTAATAGTGGATCCAACTATCAAGATTCTATCTTCATAAGTTACTTATAAGTTATGGTCACGAACTTGGACCTTTAAAACAAACCAATTAAATAGTGGGTCCAAAGTACACTAAATCAAAGGATTATTTCATAACTGGGCTTCTAAGATTGAGTAGCCCCAGTTCAAAAGCAACCCAAATAAACCAAGCCCGACTGACCTTACCCAATCCAGAGCATAAAACAAGCTGTTTAATGGAAAATTTTCTTGAATTGAATCAGTTTTTCCTCGAATCAAACCCAAATGCACAAATTCGAACTCATAAATAGACCCAAAGTTATCATCATCCTCTAACAATGAGAACTAGTAGCAGCTTGTGAGTTGTGACAGTGAGGACATTGGCAAAAACCAAGCGTGACTACGGCAGTCGGGGGCGCCAATTATTGCTTGTGCTACTCCTTGATCATATGCTGACGGCTATTGGGCGCTTGCCGCGTTATAGGGGTGCTAGCTAGGGATTTGTTACCAGCCAGTCAAGTCATGGGACAAGGGGCATGGGCATGGGAACCGGTACTCTCTCTCTCTCTGCTCATATAATCTTTTCTTTTTTTTTTGGGATAATTTCAGAAACCTTCCTTGAAGTTTCATGCAATTTCACTGAACTCCCCTGAGATTTGAAATATTACACTTACTTCCTTTAATTTGATAGTTTTAGTAACAAAATCTTAAAATAATATTTAACTTGGTCAAATTTTTAAGTGAATATCCAAAAATGCCCTTGTGTAATGAGTTTTAATTTACTTTCCATATACAATTATAAGATTATCTAGTATAATTATAAGAAAAAAGTGACAAATTTTTCATGTCCATAACTACTATTTGATAAACAACTATAATAATAATAATAATTTTATCATTACAATATGATACTTTTGATGATATTTTATTATGGATTTAGATTTATAAGATCAAAAAAAATGTTGAAATAATTCTTCACAGTTTATGAATTTTTTGAGTAGTGAGATTATCATAATTTAGTAGTGGTTTTGGACCATTGTTTTTTGATTTATTGTTAATTTTAATACAAAAAAAAACAAAGATCAACAAAAATATTAGATTGCATATAAAATTAATTGATAAAAAAAATCACTAGTTCG